CATGGGGATCCAAGATAAGAAATATATTAGTACCTTACCATTGCTGGGACAAAATTCTGGACACTCACACCGGAAAGAGGAGAAGCTTATTTTGGTTCAGGGTTTTATCCATGGTTGGTTGGCTTGAAGGCAGAAACTCATCACAGAAGGGTCATGGCGGAGGAAAGGTACTTAGTCCCTGGCTTACAGGAAGTAGAGAGCAAAGTGATGGCAGAGGGATGGGGCACGCTTTCCCAGGTCACATCCCAGGTGTTTGCCTTTTCTCATCAGACCTCACTTCCCTATAGCACAGCTAGCTGTGAACTCATCAGAGGACTAACGTGGGCGAACATGGCTGCACCACGATCCAGCCGCCTTTCCAACACTCAGGGCTGTGGGGGATGTTCAAGAGCTAAACCATAACAGGGAAGGTGAACCAGTGTGGGGACACCACAGTCCTGTACCCATCCTTCATGGAAATATAAGACTTATATGTTAGAGTTTCCTCCCTCCCTGATGTTACAGCCTCACTGGGGGAGGTGGCAGAAGGAAGTTTAAATGACACTAGTGGCCATATGAACTACAGAGATACCGTAAGTTTTTAAATTAATTAATAGGAAATAAGCAATGATCATTTACACTTTATGCCAAGTACCTTTTATCGATGTTACACACTCTCAACCTTCAAACTGTACGTACAATTCATAGGTATGAAAACTAATCTCTACAGATTACTTTCCTAGTGTCATTGTAAGAGTAAGGGATTATATACTTTGGTTGTTATTTACACTTTTGTTTTCTCACACCAGATAAAAAGTAGGATATTTACATATCTGTGTCTCGTTTGTTTCACTTAAAATTATAGTCTCAAAGAGCAACCATTTAGCTAGGAATGTCTCAAGCTTATCTTTCTTTATGACTGAGTAGTATTCCATTATATAAAAAATCCCACATCTTTGTCCATTTATTGGTTGATGGATTTTTGGGCTGTTTCCAAGATTTAGCTATTATAAATTGTGTCACTATAAACATGAGTGTGCATACATTGCTGTGGTATGATGCTTCTAGTTCTTTCAAGAAGATACCAAGAAGGGGAATAGCTGGATCAGATGGAACCTCTAGTTGTAGTTTTGTGATGAAACTCCACACTAATTTCCACAGTGGTTGCACCTATCTACACTCCCACCAACAGTGGAGAAGGGTTCCCTTTTCCTTGCAGCCCCCAACATTTGTTATTGGTTGATTTCTTGATGATGGCCATTCTTTCTAGGGTGAATTGGAGCCTCAGTGTTGTTTTAATTTGCATCTCTTGAATAACCAGTGATGCTGAACATTTTTTCATGCATTTATTTGCCATTTGTACTTTTTCTGAGAAATGACTATTTCAGATGTTATTTTTGGATTCTGTATTTAAATTGAGAGGGAGTCTGACTTTTTTGAGTTATGTATTCTAGATATTAGTTCTTTGAGAAACAGCTGGCATTTTTTTCCCCACTCAATGGATTGTCTCTTCATTCTGATGATAGATATTGTAAAATAGGAAAAAACATGTTCAAATGGAAGGGGGACTACACAGTGGGGAGAGGGAATGGAAGAAGGAAAAGAAAATAAATGAGAAAAGAGAAAAAATGGAAATAAAGTTTTTGTAAATAAAGAGGGGAAGGAAGGTAGAAAGGAGGGGGATTGAACAAAATAACCAAGATGTGTACAGGTACAGATTTCCTGTGATTAATGTGATCATTACATATATCTGAAATATATTAATAAACTTAAATTTTAAAATACTAAAAACTATGTAGAAAAATCACTGAAACTTAAATCTGAATCTCCATTGCCAAGTACAGACTTTGTCAACTCTGCTCCATCCCATAACAATGATCTAGTCTTTAAAAAGGAAATACAGGGATCTGATAGCATTTGATTGATAGCTGTTGTTGGAATCATAGATATTGTGTCAAATTGTGATCTATAGCAACGATTCTTAAAGTGTAGGGCCTTTGGACCCGGACAGTGGTGACACAAGGTTGAACCTGTCTTTATAACAGCAGTGAGGTGTTACTTGGTTTTGCACTTTATTGAGAGTTGCTCTGATGGTTCAAAAGGAATGAACAGCCAAAGCACCTGGCCTTCCTGCGAGTCGAGGTAGTGTTACCACCTCTGATAATGGTCACTGTTTTCTTCATTGTCACGTTTTTGGAGTCCCTTGAACCTTCTCAACATTCTCAGTGAGGAGGTAAGAAGCACTAATAAAGGAAATCTGGGGAATTTGATAACATTTGAGCTGTGAAGCACCACAATTGTCTTGTGAAAACCTCTTGTGTGGTCATTTGCATTGCAGCGTGGCCTAGCAAGCTCCTGGAAGAACATTTTTCCTTGAAACACTGACAGATAAATGGGATTTTTCAGACTGGAGCATTTGGCAAATACTTTCTTACACATGAACAAAGTCAGCCCAAAAGATTAAGTCAAGCTGTCAGCATTACTTGCCAGTGATAAAACCTGAAATTTCAATCAAAAAGCAGAATTTTGGAAAACTGAAATCTGCCACTGTGATCTTGACAGCTTGTCAACAGTAAAAGAGTTTTCTGATGACAGAGCTTGGAACTGATATTAACAAATGCAAATTTCCGATATTGTCTGATGAAATATGTCAACATTTAGAAAATACGCGTTACTTTGTGAGATGCTATTTTTTCAATCATGCATGGATAAACCAGCCTTTGAAGGAGTGAGACAGATTGATGAATTTTAGTTTAACAAGATAGAAGAATTCCCTGATAGGATTTCAGGCTTTCTATTGCAAATAATTTTTCAGAAGCTACCATTTGTTGGGCTTTGATGTAGTATCAAAATAGCACAGTTATCTGAGAAGGCTATTTACATGCACTTTCACTTTCCAACTACAAATCTGTGTAAGTTCAGATTTTTTCCTTCTATTTCATCCAAAACAACGTATGGTAACATCTTGAATGCAGGAGCAGAGTAAAGAATCCAGATGACCTTAAAGAAGCCGACTGTTAAAGATATTTGTGAAAATGTTACTCATTGCATTTTTTAATGTTTGGTTTTGGGAAACATGGCTATTTTTTATAAAATGATGCCAAGTATGTTAAAATGTCGTAAGTCTGTTGTAAGACTTTTAATAATTTTTATTTTTTGAGAGGGTACTGGGGGTCGAACTCAGGACCTCACACTTGCCACACAGGTGATGTGCCACTGAGCTAAATCTCTATTTTAATTGTTGGTGTGGAAAATATTGCAAAATAAAACCTTTTTCACTTCCTAAACAATTTTTAAAAGTAAAGGGAGGCCCTGCGGGCCACATTTGAGTTTGGAGATCGTGATGCCACATCTGCGGAGTTAGCACAGTGACACAGTAATTTACGGTCTTTTTTCTCTCCACTGTTTAGAATGAATTTATTCCTGACCTCAAGATTGTAACTACATCTTTATAATCACAACTCTGCTACTGAGAAAATTCAGCGTGCTTTTCATTTAAATTATAATTTCAAGTTCCCTATGGTTCAACTCCTATGTATGTCCCGAGGCTCTCCATTTTTCTCATTTGTTTCAAATGGATCTGTGACTGTTGAAACATTTTTCTGATAACTCTTTTAAAATTCTTGTGAGAAACCTGCAAATCTCATTCATCTCTATATTGTTGTTTGTTACTGACCTTTTCTGGCTCTGGAGATGATGGATGATATTTTGCTGTATCCTGTATACTGATGTCTGTTGATTGCCTTTTCCTGATTTTAGATGGAAGCATTTAAAGGAGTCTTGAACACTTTAGCATGATTGGAGACTCTCGATCCAATCTAAGTCTTTTATCTTTGCAGATCATCACCCTGTTTAGATTTAGCTTAAGTCCTGCTCTACATTTGTGGGCTTTGGTTTCAATGCTGGTTTGGTTTTCTGAGCACTTGCAATGTTGTCCTGCTGTGGTTCGCTTTGCTGGTGTGCCCAATCTCCTGCTCAGTCCTTAGTGGTGCTGTTTGGGTCAGCCCTGGGCTGGGTGATGACACTGATGGCTAGGCAGGGAGACAGAGACCTTTACTGATGCTGCTGCAATATCCAGTTGTAGGGTAGGGTCTGGAGTCCCCCAGGATGGCACGGCCTCTCCTTCTGCAGGTATATGGACCACACATGGGAGGTCCAGCTGTGGAGGAGCAGTCCTAGGACTCTGCCAGTGCTGCTGCAGATCACGTGGAGCTGGGCTGAGAAGGACAGGGGCTTTGCTGTCACAAATGTGACAGTGCCTGGTATATGTGCTGGGGACTGGGACGGCCCTGGACTTCCACCCATGGGTGACACACCTGGAAAGAGCACAATCCCCAAGACAGAGCTTTGGACTTCTGTTAGTGCTTGCTTGGCTTTCCTTTTCCTGGTCTTTTGGCCATAGAGAGCAATTCACCGCTTTGTTGTTTCTGGACTGTGCCTTTTGGTGATTCCTGGCTGCAGTTAGCTTGGTCCCAGTTTTGTAGCATACAGAAGATAAAAAGAAAAGCCAGAATCAGGTGTGGTGATGTAGGGCTTTGGGAGGCCGAGGCAGGAAGTTTGCAATTTCGAGGCCATCTGAGGCAGCTCAGGGGAACTCTGTATCAAAAACATAAAAATTTTTAAAAGTTTCAATTCAGTGTTATGGCCCAATGCTCAATGACTAGCACCCCCAAAACAAAACCAAACAAAACAACATTATTATTATTGAATTCACAATCTTGCACTCACCATGCAGGTGCTTACATAAGTGAACTAAATCCCCAGTCCCTATCTCAGGAAGTTCTATGTTGTCACTTCTGTCAGGTCTCTGGCCATTCCATTTTCTTCTCTTGTACTGTTAATTATGTTTTAACCTTGTCAATTAAACAGTTTCAAGGGAATTTACAGGGAAAGATCAGGAAAAATTTCTACAACCTTGGTTGCGAGTATTACTGCATATTTTTATGTTGAGAAATTAAAAATCTAAAACTTTTTGCTGTAGAAGGTCACTGCTGAGCACTATACATTTGTTTGATTTATAGGAATTATGTTGGAGTATGAAACAAATGGAGTTTTAAAGACCAAATCAATTGATTTACTTGAGCTTGATCCCAGGTAAGTGAGCTGTGCAATGCCCTAGCTATTTCATATCAAAACATTTTATTGGAAAACTCTGATGACATGGATGAGCTGAAAAAACTACATTATTCAAAACATTATTTTTCTCTGTATATTTGATCTTGTTCACTTCTGTGGGTTGTGCTCAAAGATCTTGCTGGAAGCAGAGTGGGTGGTAAAAAGAGGGTCGTGAATCTGCCCTTTGTAATTTTAAGCAGGTTTTTTTTTTTTTGAATTATGCAAGTTGTGAAGACAGTTTCTATGTAACTCATATCTAGCTTCCCCTATTGTTAATATTTTAGGTTAGCATGGTAGTTGTGTCACAAATAATGTATTGGTTGTGTTACGCTATTATTAACTAAGGCCCAAATTTACTCAGACTTCCTTAGTTTTCTCCTAATTCTCCCTCTGTTCAAGGATTCTCTCTAGGATCCCACAGGATGTTTGGTCATCTGTCTTGTTAGGCTCCTCTCTATGGCAGTATCTTAGACTTTCTTATTTTTGATGACCTTATCATTTTTAGGAGTACTAGCTATTGTGTTTTAAGAAATATCACTGAATCTGTTTCTTAGTCAATAAATATTTCATAAGGCTGATTCCATATGTTTCTTATGATTAATTTCCATTAGACAGCGTGGAGTAACCTGCTATCTACCTCTGAAATTTGGTGTGAAAAAAGACTTTTTCTGGGGTCATGTTGCCTGGAACTCACTCATTTTAGGGTGTATCATGCAAATCTCTATTCAAAATACAGGGTCTAAGTACTTGTGGAAATTCAGTTTCAGATATGATAAAGATATTCTCAGTGGGTAGAAAACAGAAACAAAACAAAGCCAAAAACATCAAAATATTGTGTCTTACACAATATTTCACATAGGTGGGCTGCTCTGTAGTTTTAAAATGAGTTACTCATAGGTACTGAGGTCCTTACAGGTATTTAGAAAGGGGTGTGTTTGTCTTGGAGCTGATTCCATGTATTGATCAGCTTTTCTGATACTAGAACACAATACCCAACATACACAACTTAAAGGAGCATGGATTTATTTTTGCTTATGATTTCCAAGAATTCAGTCCACGTTCATCTGGCTCCATGGCGGAGATGTCATGGTGGAAAGGAGGCCATGGGGGAACAGCGTAGCTGGGAAGCAAGGCAAGGGAACAGTTCTAAAAAAAGGAGGGTGAAGGACCAGATGTAATATACAAGGTTGTGTCTCCTTTACCCACCCGGAAGTGGACTTTACTGATTCCTTTGGTGACTCCCAAGCCACTCAATTTGACACAATGACAATTTGACACCACATTCCACCCCTTGAAAACCTGATACCCAAACACATCTCCTTAACCCGTATTTAATCCTTGAATAAAAGCAAAATCAGAATTTCACCTAACAGGGCCGGCTGGGGTATGGCTCAGTGGCACAGTGCCTTCCTGGCATGTATAAGGTCCTGAGTTCTATTTCCAATACCAAGAAAGACAAAAAAATTCCACTTAACATGGTACAACTGTCTTGCTTACAACCAAGAATGCAATAATCTCTTTCCCCAAATCCCAACCATTCTAACATTTTTTTCTAAAAGTCTAAAATTTCTTCTCAGACTCAAGGTGGACTCCTAAGTGTAAACATCTATAAAAACCAAAAATGTCATGTAATTCCTTCAATGGAAGGAAACAGAAAAAAACAACTCATCACACTCAGAACTGCTATGCTTGTAGCCTTCCTAAGTGTCTGAGTATAGGTTTTGCTGCTATAATAAAAGCAGCTGGAGCCTGGTAACTTATAAAGAGCAGACATCTGTGTCTCATAGTCCTGGAGACTGGAAAGTTCGCGGCTGAGATGCCTGTGGGTTTGGTGTCTGGCGAGGGCTTTCTCTGCTTCCAAGAGGGAACCTTGATGCTCCTGAGGCAGAAAAAAGAGGAGGGCTGCCTCTTCACATGGAAAAAGCAGAAGGGGAGAGGGCCACACTGCTTCCATCAGCCCTCTGATAAAACACCACTCTTACAGCATAGTCGTTGAGAGGCCTGTCACATAACACTGGTACACTGACCTTTAAGTTTAATAGCTTTAAGAAGGACACACACAGTCACAGAGCTATGAGCACTGTGTGCCCTGAGAAAAGTCTGAGTCATGGAAAAACCTATTCTAGACAAGCCAGGCATCTTGCTTTTGTGCCACGACTCTCCTTTTTGAATTGTTGGGAAAGAGGATGATGCTTTTTAAAAAAATTTAAATATTTTATTAATGTGCTTCATAAAGCAATATAGTTCCTCATGCAATGAATATAAATGCAAGTATTAACGTGAAAAATGTTTTTTTTGGGGGGGCCGAATTTCAGCACTGATGTGGACGCTTTAGTAGAAGAGATCCAGAAAGCAGAGCCTCTGATCACGGCTTCAAGAACGGAGCAGGTGAGACTGTTAGTGCAGAGGCTGCAGGCCAAGCTGGGGCAGAACGGCAGCCACGTCTTCTACCTTTTCAAGGTAAGGCGCTGCAGCGGGTGGTTGGTTGGTCAGCTTGTTACAGCCGGTATCTCTAGTAAAACCCTGACTAGTACAGGCATGTTTAACCACCCCAGGCAGAAGAAATTCCATAAAGTACCTGGCGTTTCTCTCCTTCTAAACATAGTTTTCTGTTTCCCTGAAAAGAACTTTTTCAACAAAAATTCTTATGTGGCTTTTGCTTCACACTTCATATATATTTGCTATACTTAAAGAGTCAATATTTAAGAAATGAGTGAAATTCAAAAACACTTATTTCTTGAGATGCTAAATATTCCTGAGAGGTTTAGGTCCCCTTTGATGTGATAAATTGAAAGGGTTCTTACCACTAAGGTAGTTCTAAGTTATTGAGCAGTTAAAAATTATTTCCCAGTTCAAGCAGTTTTAGTAAATTATGTTTCATGCTTTATAAACATTTCATATTTTTGGCTTTTATGTGAATTTCAGGAAATTATTTATAGGACTTAAATAATTTTAGTTTGATGTAATATGCTCATTTCTTACTATAGTTTTCATAGCGAAATTAAATTTATAACAAGTGTGGTCATTTAGTACTTTTATGAAAAACTTTGTTATTTAAAACCTCCAAACTTTATCCTAAAAATTACTTCATATTATGCTACTTTTATTTTATGATTTAAATATAATTATAATAATAACCATATTTTTTATGTATGTGCCTACCCTACCTGATATAAAATATTCAGGTCCGCTTTGGTAGTCATCCATCTAAATTTCTGGAAAAAACTGAGGTTGATTTTGTAAATATCTCTTCTTCCAGCAGGTGGTAGTGTTTAACTTCAAATGTGAGATCTAAGACTATAGTTACCATGAATTAATCATCCAGAGAGCTTTTGACAGTGAAAGCGAATGCTATTAGCAGTTAAACTTTGGCAGCAGACATAGCTGGAAAGAGCCCAGTCTAGAAAATCATTCTTTTAATACATTTTCCAATTTTGGTATATCCATCCAGTGAATAGTCATTGAACATCCATTATATGCTAGGCAGTGGAGAGATTGAAAAACTCTAAAGGAAATTTAGGATTCAAAAAGTAATAATCATTGTAAAATCTATATGGATCATATTTAATGGAGTTCCTATATACAGTTATCATCAATAACTAAAACAAACAAACAAACCAACAAATTCAAGCAAGGCTGCAGTGGAAAATGAACACTTCTATACTGATGGTGGGAATGTAAGCTAGAACAACTACTATGGAGATCAATATGGAGATTCCTCAAAAAACTAAAACTGGAAATTCCATTCAGTCTATCTATTCTCCTTCTCTTCTTCCTCTTGAGAGAATTACATCCATCAGAATATGGTGATACAGGCACACCCATGTTTACAGCAGCACAACTCAGAATAGCTAAATCTTGGAAGCAGCCTGTATGTCCACCAGCAGATAAATGGATAAAGAAAATCTGAATCATCTGTAGGGAAATGGATGCATCTTGAGATTGTAATGCTTAGTGAAATAAATCGATGCAGAAGTTTATATATTTTATGGCTTCTCATATAAGAAACCTGAAGTATAAATAATTTAGACTAAAATAAAAGATAGATAATAGGAAATGGGGAAATAGAACTTTGTGAATGGAAAGAGAATCTAGAGGTGGGGGAGGGAAAAAGAAGGGGGAGGAATGATTAAGATGTGGTATGTACATCCCAACTCAGCATGATGAATACATTCATGATGTGCCATAAACGTGGGCTAACATAAAGAAGAAATTAGTCCTGTGTAGTTTCTTGTTTAATAGACAAATTTACTGTAAAGGTAAGTTGGTAGTGATCAAAAACACAGTTACAATGATGTTGAATGTCTTCACTCATTTGAAGGTAAAAAATTAATGAATTAGGCTTAATTTGGTAGAAGTCCAAAATAAAACATGTTTTTTTTCCTTGAAGGTCCTCAGAGCACATATATTGCCGTTGACTAATGTCGCACTTAACAAATCAGGAACATGGTAAGATTCTGTTTTTATTTCTAATTTTTAGCAATGAGGAGATAAATATTTCTGAGAATTTGTCAAATATACCATATAGTTAAATATTTCATGTGTTCATTTCTCTTGATTTTGGAATCCTTCTGAATACAGAGGAGAAAGGAATGTAAGCTCTTTCTTTCTCTATTCTAAGTTTTCTATAATAATGTCATTTGGGTGATACAGCTGTGAGTAACAGGAGTTGGGAATGGATCAGGTAGGGCAACCTTGGATCTGCCTTGGTGGTAGGAGCCATCACACAGCAGCCACAGCACATGTGTGTGTGACTGAGCTCTTCAGAGCAGGATCAGGGTGCTGGGATGTGAGGACTGGAACCGTCAGGCCAGTGTTCAGTGCGTGCCTTGTGTCTGCTTGGCATCTGAGGTGCTAGGTAGGAGAGGTGAGTTAGAAAGCTTATTTTGCCTCCAGTCCTAAGTATACATATTCCTGTAGTGTTTGGTTTCCTAGGACCACTCTAATAATACAGCACCAGCTAAATGACACACACAACAGAAATTTGTTGCTTGCAGGTCTGGAGGTTAGAAGCCCAAAGGAGAAGGTAGTTCTTCTGAGGGCTGTGAGGGAGAATCTGCCTAAACCTTTGTCCCAGCTTCTGGTGGTGTGTTTAATGTGTAGAACAACACACTGATGTATGCCTTCATTTCTACAAGGTGTTTGTGTGTGTGTGTGTGTGTGTGTGTGTGTGTGTATGACTATTTCTGACCTCATTACACATTCAGTGACACTATTGCCAATCAAAGACATATTATGAGGTGCCAGGCCCACGGATATCAACAAACGAGTTTTGGAGTGGGGCTGGAACACAGCTCAGCCCATAGCAATGTCTGTAGTACATTTATGAATAGATTCAAATATAGGTCTGCATCTGTCCAAGGTGAAGGAAGCCAGGTGAAAAGAAGCTAGAAGGAAAATGCTTCATTTTAAAAATTTTTAGTAAGTTCATTGCTACAATTTAGTCATACATAATGATCATGTTCAACATAGGGAATTTATACCTGTACGTGATATATCTCAATTCCTCTTTAGGAAAATCCTTTAAGGGTAACCAAAAATACACCATCTTAGCAGTCATTCTGTTAAGTTAGGTTTACATGCCGGAATTTGTTTCCAATTTTTATCATTACTGCTAGACATTCAGACTTGCTTTTTGGCCTCCTGCATTAGTTCATTATGTTGGAAATTAAATCACTTTGCTTTATGTTTAAATTAACGTTTCTGTTTCAGAGATATTTTAAAAAGAAAGCCTTTTTCCCAGTCAAGAACTGAATAAATAAGACATTGATATGTTACTGAGACATTTGATCAATATATCTTTTTTGTAGTAGAATAGTCATGTCAAAGAGTTTATTATTAGTAAAGAATGTGTTCCCTAGTTGTATGCATGTTAGTTTTTGAATTGTTGTTTTAGGTCCTGATAGAATGGGGATATATCAGATGAGCAGAGCATTAGGATCTTCAGAGACAGTCAAGAAGGTGAATGTAGTTGATCAGGTTGGATATTGGGGAGAAATTGAGGTCTGAGAGCTAGCCAAGACTGATGGCATTAAAGGTTTAAAAAGTCTCCCATCTTCTGTGAAGCACAATAGATTTTTAAGGATCCTCCATGAGCTAAGATTCATTAAATGATGATTTCATTTGTTTAGGCAAGAAATAGAGGCAATGGGCAGAAGGGACCATGTTAAGGATATATTTTGAGATTGTGTATTGACAGAAATTGCTGATGGTGCCATTCATAGAGCATGGAGGAAGAGTATGCAGGATAATGATAGAATGCTATGCTCAACAACTGAGATGATGCTATTTTGAGATGCATAGATATAGATATTTAGTGTCATAGAGTATTATTGATTGTTATGCACAGTCTTTAATTATGTAAGGTTATATATTATGGGACTGTTTTAACAATTATTAGCAGAATTCCTCTGCTTTGTTTAGTGACTAGCTTTTTGGTTGGAAATACAGATGCTTTGAAGTCCAAGGTTTTAGACATTGTTCATAATTTGTCGATAGTCATGATTTTCATCATAAAGAAACAAAGCCTAGGAGTTATTATCCTGCAGGTAGAAATTGGAGTTTCTGTTAACATAGTGCCATTCTCATTCTGTCATGTGCTTGTGGCCCTTTTGTTAGCTTTATCACAGGAAGCTACGATCGGACATGCAAGGTCTGGGACACCAGGTCCGGAGAGGAGCTGCGCACCCTGGAGGGCCACGGGAATGTGGTCTACGCCATAGCATTCAACAATCCTTACGGGTCTGTTTCCTCATTCACTACCTCCTTCCTTAATTCCTGTGCTCACCCTACATCTATTAGAGGGTGAAGAGAAGCAGACAGGATTAAAATGTATTGAGTGTCTGGTATGTCCTTAGGAAGCCTTTTCAATACCTCCTTCAATGTGTAGAGAATGTAGGTAGGTATTATTCTTAGACTATAAAGTTCAAGTACTCTTCTGGGGGCCACCAGAGGTAAAAGAGAGTGGTATTGGATTTCAACGAGACTGACTGTCTGGCCTCGGGAGTTCCCAGAGATGTACATTTGCAGTGGGTCTGGATCAGGGATATGCATGCGCAGTTACAACATGGTTTACACTTCAGCCTTGCCAGGTGGCAGCAATGCATGTGTAACATGCTAGTTAATAGAACCAAGAGCAACAGAAGCACTAGAAGCCAAGCTCTGGTGAACTGACTTGGAATCAGTGGATGACTCCATGTTTCTCTGTCCTTGCACACAACACACTACTGATGTTTCTGGCCCCCTTGGGTATCTATAGCAGTGGGTTTAACTTTTCTCCCTAGCTCAAGAGCTAGGTGTATTTGTCCATAAGGCTGAATTTTCATTCCACTAATTTAATGGGGGATTTAATTCCACAAATCATTGCATAATTAAACATTTTATAAAAATTAATGAAATATGAGTGTGAGAAGAAAGTTGTTTTGGCAAGTTAAATCTTTACAAAAGTCTTACTAACTGAAGCTTTGGTTAAGATCAGTGTTAGTTAGAATATATATACTGGGAGAATATGGAAAAATTCTGTACTCTGATTGTTCTATAATATATTTAAGTTCTTAAAGTTTCTTTCTTTCTTTCTTTCTTTCTTTTTTTTTTTTTTTTTTGTACTGGGAATTGAACTTACAACCTAGCGCTTGCCAGGCAGATACTTATGCCACTGAGCTAAATCCCCAGCCCCAGTTAAGTTTCTTATGACATTTTAAAGAAAACTGACCTGGGCACATGTCAGTTTGCTATGGGTGGCATATCTTTGTAATATCAGCACTCTGGGTGGCTGAGACAGAATGATCACAAGTGTGAGCTCAGGCTTGGGAATTTAGCCACTTAAGGAGACCCAGTCTGAAAGATAAAAAAAGAAAAACAAAGAAAAAGAAAAAAAAAAAAAGAAAAAGAAAGAGGGCTAAGGATACAACTCAGTGTGAAAACCCTTGGTTGAATCCTTACTACTAGCAAAACAACTAGGAATTGTAGAGGTTTGATGTGATTTCTGTTGGAACACGAATTCCAATAGCTGACACAGAGTCGAAGAAAAGGCTTTGAGTTTTTGTCAAAAGATTAGCAAATGAATGTGTATTTGTTCAAAATTTTTAAGTGTGTGTGTTGTAGTTAGGGTTTGTTAAGGAATATATTTAATGTAGAACACACAATTTAAGAGTTATTTTATACCTTTTTGTTATGTGGGATACTATTGTATGTGAAGGTATGCTCAACTATTTCGAAGAAAGAGACAGTACAGTAGCTACTGTTAATATTGGGTTGTCTTGTGGTGAAGCACTGTGTTGCTTACATAGATATGTTCTGATCTGTTTGTTCTGTCCTTGTTTGTCTTAATCCCTTTAAAATAAAAAAAAAATTTAAAAAGTTATTTTATAATATTCATACAAAAAGTTAAATGCAGAAAGTACAAGAAATCTGTGTACACGCTAGACCTGAAGAATCCAGTCGAGGCCCTGGATCCCACGGCAATGTCCTGCAGGAGTCCAGCTTAAGACCGATGGCAATGCCCTCCACCAGTTCTGGAGTCCACAGCAATGTCTCAAGCAAGTCTGTAATCAAAGATCTGCACCAGGAAGGCCCAGTGGCCAGTGGTGGAAGCTAGAAAGTCTGCACAGTAGAGTGAAGAGTCTATGTCAGAAGGCTGAGGGATCTGCATTGGAGGCAGGAAGTGATGTTCAATGTGAAGACCAGAGCTCCCCGACAACAGCAGCTGTCCCAGGCTACAGTGAGGACTCGAGCTCCTCCTCCAGTGAGAACATCCAAGTTCATATCAGCAAAATCAGCCATGGCAAGCTTCTCCATGAAAACCAAGAGCATACAATCTTCCCTCCAATCCTTCTTTGGTGTCATTTTGGCAGCAATTCTCCAGGGGGTCTTCCACGCCCAGAACCATACCAGCTCAGTTGTGCTGGGCTTTCCTGCCCAAACTGATCATTCATTAGTCCACCACAACCTGTATCTTCTTTATAGTTTTTGCTGGTTCAGTAAATGTAGTTCACCCACTATAGCATCGTGATGACTAGAACAAAACAGTAACTAGTTCAGAAGCTAAGAGGAGTAGAACAGTGTGGTTTTTCCTCGTTTGAATGTCTTTGGAGGTGATGTGAAGTAAGAACCTAAACCCGAAGGATGAGAGATGGAGAGGGTATTGGCAGCTTGGGATTTGCAGGCAGGGTTGCGGCAGGCAGCTCAGTGGTCTCTCCAATGAGCACTTCCTATAGTGAAATGGAAGGGTTGGGGGCAGAGATCCGTGGAGTTTACGCTGTTCTGCCAGACCGAGTTGCTATCAAAGAGTTTGGAACAAAGGAGTTGGAGAGTGAATGTACTATCTAGAAGGGTTGTGCCGGTGGGAAGTCGCAGAAGGGAAGGGGTTCCCAAGGAGGCCGGTGCGGACATCCACGCACAAGACAGTGAAAGCTCTGTGGGATGGCAGGGAGACTGGGGCACCTTTCTTGACGTTTGATGACTCAAAGAAGAATTTTACACTCCAATTAAAACAATGGGTGTCTAGGTCTTGCATGTCATTACATCTTTTTAAAATGTAATACTTTCCAAACACATTAATTGTGATGGCATAATCAACCTTAAGCGGCACATTAAGTGACTAAATATGACAAATTACAGACAATTTAACATACTTTGTCATTTCTCTAGGATGACAGTTTTTTATAATACAGTACCTTATTATACTAATTTGAGGAAGTGAAAAATGGTATTAAAATTTTCAATGGTACTGTTTTACACTGCCAGTATAATTCTTACTTTTATTGCATTGTAATGTTCTGTAATATAATGTCACATTTTTAATAGTCTATTTGATAGACATGATATATTTTGGGTGTCTATGTGAGAACAATATTTCCTGGGAGTTGTGAGGTGAAGAATTTGTTCTGGTACTGTTGGAGTCTATCAAGAGCTCTAATGAAAATCCCTTTTGTTAATTATGTAAATAGTTATCCCAGTCTTATGGTTTATTTGTGAAGTATGATCAAAAGATATGGTGAATATTTTAATTAAAATTTTTATTACAGCAAAAAATGCATTGCCTTAATTCTTCTCAAAATACTCCCACCCCCTGCCCCTGCCTTAATTCAAACACATGTTTCCCATTATCCTTAAGACTTTCTGAAGCAATTGTAGAATCGTATGTTGTGTCTTTAGTTGTGCTGTCCTGGCTGCCTTTTGACAGTCCTGATTGATTTACTTTTCACCATCATTTTGGCCCCGAGGAAGAGCTAGAAGTCATTTGGTGACAGATCCTGTGAATAAGTGGATGAGGACACACGTGTGTTTCCATTTCTGTTGGATGGCCGCGTCATTCACCATGTTTTAGATCACACCTCGTAAACACGTGCATGAGAGAGGACTCTAGCACTGCTTCAGAGAGTGGCAGGAATGATGGGATGCATGATTTAGAAGCCTGTGGGGGTTAATAACCATGACAATGTGACTTTTACAGTAATGATTTTGAAAACACTTCAGCATTTAATGATTCAATGTATATTTTTAATCAGACCTCAAATGGGCTAAAGCAGTGGTTTTCATTGCTTTTAGCATTTTGCTTTCAGCGAGTTAAGACATCTACCACAAAAAAGGAATGTGTGTGTGTGGTGTGGGGGGGTGGTTTAGTGTTTATCTACTTCATACATTAGGTCAGGGATAAGTTTTGATTCGATAAAGTAATTCTCAAAGATGCTGACATTAGTGATATCTTTTATGATGTGGCATCATCTGGAGTTCGAGAACAGTTTGTGATAGAACAGAAACTGCTCAGGAAACAAGAACAACTTGAAACTGGTATATTTGAGAGGAGGAATGGAACCCAATGCTTGAGCACTGTCATGAGCAGAAGTTGGAAGATGGCAGCAGTGGATGGAAAATGCTCCAGTGTCCTGGACCAGATCCCAAAGGAGCAAGGCAGTTGAGAGACTCGGGGTAACCAACCATCCTTGAGGGTTTAGAAGCTTCGGTGGTTTGTGTGGGGCGCCACAGGGACGAGCTGCCCTGAAATGTTGACAGAAAAGATCTTGCTTTTCCGTAGACTGAGAGACCACAGAAGTATCACATGGCTGGCTTGGGAACCCAGGGATAAAAGCAAGACGTCAGTTTTGGTGCAGTTGTGCTGGATGTGTATAATTGGACTTGGGATCTTATTGTTTGGATCTTAAGGTCCCTTGTATATTTGAACAATGAAATTCAACGGAAATGATAACACAGTGGGTAAACTTTCAGTGACCTTGGTGTAAAGGATAAATATGGGTTAAGGTTAAAAGAAGAGGTTTTAGTGCCAAGACAAAGATTAATCAGGCTAATCTATTTCTATCTTTCCATGACTATGGCAGCACTGCTTGAGTCAACCAGGGAAGCTGTTTGTTAGAAAGTCTTTGTCAATCTCTTCTCTGTATCCTTTTTACACAGTGTTTTGATACAGGGTCTCACTATATAGTAGGCTGGCCTCAAACCCACAGTGATCCTCATGCCTCAGTCTCCTAAATGATGGGATTACAGGTGTGTTACACCTCATCCAGCTTTATGTCCTCTTATAACTGGAATATTACTGTTATTTTCTCAAAGACTTAGACATTATCTAATTCCCCACAACCTTATTAGCTATATGATTACTTGAATTTATATCTTTTCAGTTTTTTTCTTTTAAAGTCAATCTTCACTTGTCTATATAAATATTAACAGACATTTTCTATGTTCATACAGCTAAAACTACACACTAGTCACATTAATATTACTGATTTTCCCTGCTAAATCTTTTCTAAGCATCCATTGTTAATTTAAAAATATATTTATGCATTTAACACAAGATCTGTAAAATTAAGCAAAAAGTTTATGTCATTCAAAAATTAGCTCTTTTTTGTTATCTACTGAAATAAATATAGGATTGCTTATACAGATGTAAATTCCTCAGTAGATGGGCACGCATACATTAATAGCTCTTGTCTTAATTTAGCTTAATGTGTAACTGATTTAAAGATCCACATGCTTTTAAATTACAGCGACAAAATCGCCACTGGGTCCTTTGATAAGACGTGTAAACTGTGGAATACAGAAACAGGAAAATGTTACCACACCTTTAGGGGACATACAGCAGAAATAGTGAGTAAATTTCATATTTGTATCATTTATTTTACACTGCTCTTTTTAAGGCTGTCATTATTAATGCAGAAGTTGTACTTGTATAATTTTCAAATTCGAACCTACCTTATTAGTATTGGTCAGCATGAATTTTATATGGCAGTGCTGATACCATTTAAAGATAGCTTACTTTTTAATAATTTACAGATACTGTGAGCAACTGACTAAGTAACCATGTGATATAATGAGTGTAATATTCAACCTTTTTCTTTTTCATTCACTTGCCTTTAAAGAACTGATTCAGTGTGGATTGATGAAGTTACAAATAGCTTTTAAAACATCTTTATTATATCGTGTGGAATGATTTACGCTTATTTTCAGGATAACATGAGAACTCAAATTTGTGTAAATAGTCTGATGCTCTGAGTAGCTTTCTCATGTTGGGAAGCCCTTGCCCTTAGCCAATTCTGCATTACATTTCCTAATCATTAGTGAGCTAATTGGTACCCTATGGAACAAGTGATGACTAGTAAACGAGCTCCTAATTTTAGGAGAAACCTTGCTTATACTTGTCCTTACAGTTCATGGTATTTTTTCACCTGAGAAGAGCACACGCTGCACTTAAGATATTTTTTACACATGGGACACTACAGGGAAAAACAGTCACTGAGCCTTAGTGGCACTGCTGTTGGAGGTACCATCCTGAGACCTTGACATGTACTAGCATAGTTGTGCCTCATAACCCTAAGAGGGGGGATTGATTTCTGCATTCTGAGGCACAGTTGAGGATTCTGGGGCATAGAGAGACTTGTCTAAGGTCAAGTAAGACATAATTCCTTTTTTTAGAAAGCAACTGTGTCTCTACACTCTTTTGGGATTTCTAGTCTATAAGTATTTACTAAATGCTAATTATGTTGTCTTAAAAGCTTAGGGTACTGCAAAATTAGACACCGTGCTTATTATCCACCAAAGATTCTGGTGTGCAATAGAAGTACAGTCAATGAATTGATTTCTAAGGGATTGTTTGAGTGCTAGAAATGGGCACTAAATGAGGGAACTGCCAAGTTCCCCTGGCAAGAGCGGGTGTCCAGAACAGACTTACAGTGAAGTGGGTGGGACGGGCATTCCAGGCAGACGGAGCAGCATTGGCCAGGGCCAGAGGAGCTGTGCAACTATGGTGCATACTGGAGAGCTCAGGTGGCTCCCTAAGGTCAGAGAAGAACAGCCTGACTTCCCCTATGGTGGATGCACAGAGTGCCAGTACAGATGTGCACACATTAGGGGAGCTGCCTGCTACACGTGGTCTGAGGCGAAGGACAGAGATCCTCATCCCATGTTAAGGATGTCAATCCTCAGTTGACTCATAACACAGTAAAAATGGGATTTCAAGGTGGGCTTTGGGAAAGGCAGGCACAGGCTGTGTTGTAGATGTATGGAGGTCCTGATAGGATGTTGAGAAACTTGGACTTCATTTTGTAGGTACTGAGATTTTTTCACTGGGATAAAGTATGCTTCAATTAGCTCTTTGGGATGATTAGTTTTGTGACAGTGCGGAGGAGAAATGGGAGGTAGGTGAGATCAGGGGCACAGGCCAGTTGGGAACTTGTCTGAATGGTAAACAGTGGCACATTATCATAAGGCAGATGAGGAGGACATGTGAGATGTTAAAGGAGTGGGGAGAGAAGAACCTGTTTACCAAGCAGAAGGAAGGCATGAGGGAAAAGGGAAATCTAAGATGATTCCCAATTTGGGGTGGATGGCTAGCAGTACCAGTCACCAGTGAAGCAGGTTTGTGTTCATGCGACTCTGGAGTCTTTCATTGGTAAGAGCTGCCTGTGCGATATCTAAACAGGCATCCATTGGCAATGGATTGGCTCTTGGAGGATGGAACTGGACATCAGGCCTGGGGAGGGCCATGGAAGTGAGTCACTGGGGTTTGGGTACCAGAAGAGACCAGTGAGAAAGTGAAATTGTCCAAAGGAATGGCAGCACATGGAGAGAAGCCTGGCAGATTCTGGAAGATGAAAACGTTAGTTCATACAACCATCCTTAGCAACAACAGCAATAACAACAAACAAGAGGAGAAAGAGTTGTCAAAACTGTAGAAATTGTGGAGACCAAAGATACCAACACTGCAGACATTAGGGAGGTTTAGTTGTTGGCTAACCACACCTCTTTAGATTTAGCCGGAGTGATTTCTGGAGATGAAGAGTGAGCAGAAGATGAGCAAAAAGTGAAGATAAACTATTTTTTCACAGAATTTGGTTGTAAAGGGGGAAAAGTAATTAAAAATGGTGCATCGAATCAAAGGAGGGCTTACTTTTATGGTATATGGGGAAAGCTCAAGCACATTTACCAGCTACTAGGAAGGATCTAAGCTGGAGGGGAGGAAAGGTAGAGTGTACAAGGTCTCTTCTAGGAGTGCAGGGCAGAGGATGTAGAATGGATGAAGGAGCTCTCTGCACCTGAGATTGAAGGGGAGGAGATTATGTGGGAGGTGAGGAAGTTCCCATCTGCTAGGTTAGTTTTCCAGAGAAGTGGGCTGAGGACCAGTTATGTGCTTGGGAAGAGTAAGAACAAAGGTCAAAGGTTGAAGGCAAGAGTGGGGTCTAGGGAATAGTTAAGCTTGGTGCAGTGAAAGTTAGTAGGGCATGGTGCTGAGGGTTCACCAAGGTATGCATGGGCAGCGCCAGTGACCTGGGCAGCTTTCTTAAGCTCCATTGGTTGATGAAGCAGGGAGGGTAGATGTTAAATAAAGTTCTGGCTGCATGAAAAGCACATGTGACAGGCAGGCACTGAGGATGCTGGTGGGCATGACACACTCAAGGTACCAGCTGAATAGGGATGGCAGGCCAGGGGGGACAGTAGGGGTCTCAGTGAAATGGAAGATTTCCAGAGGTTCAGAAAGTGAATAGCACGTGAAATAGAAAACTCAAGAGTGTCAGAGAAGGTAACTAGAGGTGGATGAGTAGAAGATAAATGTTCTAGGGAAGCAAGATGTAGCCATAGGAGTAGTTATGGAGATGGAGTCCAGGACATGGGCCTGGGGAGATGGAAGGACACCTGGGACACAGAACCGATGTTGTGAGCCAGCAGTCATAGCCTTATGGAGAAGGGGGTACCAGAACACCGTGAGGCCAACAAGGATTGTGAGAAACTCAGCAAGAGGAGCCTGTGCCCCACACAGCCCAAGCAGGTGATGTAGGAGTACAGTGTCTCTTTTTGGCAGGAGACTGTGTCAGCGTTCTGTCTGGAAAGATCAGGTTTCTCGTATTTAATATTTCATCATGTACTTGTATAAAGAATTAGATTGAATTTGCTAAGGCCTTTGAAAAATTTCCACATAAAATACACAGTATGAAGCTCTCTAAGCTCTTTTCCATTTCATGTGACTTTAGGTATGTTTGTCATTTAATCCTCAAAGCACGCTGGTAGCTACTGGAAGTGTGGACACCACGGCCAAGCTGTGGGACATTAAGAGTGGAGAGGAAGTGTTCACTCTAATGGTATGTGCCCAGTGCCAGCAAGCGTAGCATTTGGATTCATTTTTATTTGTGTCTCTATTATACTTCAGTGACAAACAGAAACAGTGAAATGACACCCAGGACTTGGAGGCAAATTTATTTAACATTGGATGGGCACTGATAAGGAATCAATTGTTTTTCAAAACATCAGGTCTTGAAGACCCAGGGAGGAAAGTTTTTATGAGATTGCAAAGGGGTGGGTGTATGGAGGTAGTGTACTTGGCTGGCTTTGATTGGTTTTTACAATATGCATCACAGTGACCGCAGTTTCTAAGAGACAGGAGCAACCGGAACTGGAACAGGACCTGTTACTTGGGCAGCTAACCGACTGGCTGGGGGCATTTTTTTTTTTTCTAGAATACAGTGAATTCTAAGTCAGAAGATGCCTTTTAACTACTGGTTTTCAAGCTGTGGGTTTGCTGACTATTCCCAAAGACTGGCATGCAGGTGCTGGGAAAAGCAGAGGAACTTTTATTTTTGTTGAATGTCAAGTTGTGGAGCAAGTCAGCTGTAGCTTGGACCCTTCATTGTCCATCTTTGAAAGGATGGCATGTGGGGCTGGCATCCTTTGGAGGAGGACCAGCGGGACAGCAGAAGACTCCTTACAGGAATAACTGTGCTCCTCTCCCACTCCTCTGATAGTTTTCCTATGTAGCAGTATCAGGACAACATGGGGTAGACGATCAGAGGTCAAAGGCCAAAGGTCATGACCCAGAGAGTCAGGGCTCTTGTGTTGGCTCTTGTCTGTCACCACCATATGTCCGGCACCTTCCAGTCACCTGCCACTTTCACTTCCTGCCCCTCCAGCACAAGCAACCACAACAAAACAGGCAAACAGTGTGTTGCGATCACTGAGTATAGCTGGATGATTAACAAAAAGAAACACAGAATTTCTTTTTTCCTAAGAAAGCTAAAAATAGATGGAAAAGACAAGAGAAAATCCCCTAATTTAAAAATAATACTAAGGGGTCTTCCTCCCTAACTCTGAATGCCTAGCATAGTCACACAGGTGTGTTCCTCCTGATCGCAGTTGTAGTGGTTTCATTAGGTTACTGCTTCCTTCCTACTGCTGCTTGCTGGGAGCTGTGGAGGGGAAGGCCCCTGGGAATGCGTTTCCTGTGTGGCTATCCCTTTGCCCAGTGTGCTCATGGCGTTTGGTGAGCTGAGTCCTGCTCTGCACATCTGTGGGCTGGTGGAGAGGAGGCCACGCTCACTGAATGCATCTGGAATTCTAATGTTCGGTTCCATTTCACTTTTGTCATTTGGAATCAAGCTAAAAATCAATTCTAATACTTTGTATTATTTGAAAATACAAGAGTTTTATAGGAAAGGGGCAAGCTGCATGTCCTGATCAAAGTCCTGGGGTCCATGGTGGGCTTCTCAGGAGCACTGGACAGACTGACCAAGGACCACGAGTCTATTTCCTCCTTCACATCAACCACCTGGTAGATTTCCTCTTTCAAAGTTATTAAATTTATTTCAAACACAGTTTTCCTTTGCCCATCATTTATTTTGTAGGCCATAAGGCCACATTCTTTTAAAAGAAAATTGCATACAATTTTGAGAGGATAAGCAAACTGGAGTTTTGCATCCAGATGTACCCTCTGATTCTCTGTCACAGAATCAACCCATTTGGTTGTGGTCACTTAGGCTGGGGCGGGGTGAAGTGGAAGGTGGCAGATCCCAGGAAGTTGCTGGACATTTGGCTGTGACAGACAAGTCCTCATATTTTCGGAATAATGTGAAAGAAACTTTCTTTCTCCAAATGTGCCTTCTTTCTTTAGAAAGAAGTTTTGCTGAGCTAAAATGAATTTGCTTTACATATGTAAGGCAATGATTTTTTTCAACTTACAGAATTGTGTATCTATCACCATAGTCCAGTGTTAGACTAAGATATTGCATGTTTGTAGAAACTGTTTTGTCTATAAGTACGGATGACAGTGTCTCCTCATTTTCTAGGGGCATTTGGCAGAAATCATTTCCTTGGCATTTGACACCTCAGGAAACAGAATCATCACAGGGTCCTTTGATCACACAGTCATAGTGTGGGACACTTCTACTGCAAGGTAATTTATAATGCTTAGGAATTTTCAGCATAGTCACGAGGAGGTGAAGAGGATACAATGTTATTTGCAACTTTATATCATCAAACTCGATATCATTAACTATGCTTTGTGTTTCATAAGAAAAGAACACACTGATAACTTAAACTAATTTATTTTTCATATGTTTGATCTACAAAATAAATATTCCTAGAATTCTGGGCAAATACAGTAATATAGGAAGAGAATATTAGCAGTAGTCTGATTAAACAGCTATGATTTATCCAGCACTATATAATCCAATTTTGATGACTTTTTATAATGTTAGGTATGAAATATATATCTATTATATATTATATAATATTAATATATATTATATAATGTTTATTATATAGTGAATATATAACATTCATAGTTAATCTCTCTAATTTATTTAATCCAAGAACTTCAACTTACTTCCTAATGATTTTTGTGCCTAACTACTAAGAAATTTTTGGAAGACCTCACTGTTGTCTGCATTTTGGTAGAAGGGATCATTATTAGAAGTATCAACAGAGATGGGCTCAGCAAAAATGAAAAGTGTTACAGTTTATGTCTAGATGTCCCCCCACAAAGCTTTATTCAGTCATGGGAGCAGGTTTTTCAGAGAAGTCTGGAACTAGAGTTTGTGGTTGATTTCTGGTCCAATGCTGGGATTAACGAGGTGAGTGCTACATCTTTCCTAGTGCATGTAGTCTCCATATAATATCAGGGACAGAAAGAGGCTTGCCCCACTGTCATGCCCTCTCCTTGCCTTTCCTGTCTTTCATTACCATGAATCGATGCCCCTTTGCTGTGTGCCACCCTGCCTTGAAGCCAATCAGTTATGGGCTGAAACCTCTACAAACGATGAGCCAAATAAACCTTTTCCCCTTTACCTTTGGGTGTTAGATATTTTGTCTTAGCAACAAGACAGCTAAGACAAAAAGTCTTCCAAATTTTTGATATGTTGTTTCTCAACAACCAGGGTCTGCACATCTGGTGCAAGAGTACTTCTGGAGTTTGTTACCATTTCCTCTCTGAGATGTTTTCTTGAATAATGCATTTTTAAAAAATCGTTTTATTTTGTTTTTACAAAGTTATTTTAATTCTACATATTTATAGAGTACAATGTGATAATTAAATTCATGCAATTGGTAATGATCAAAATAGGGTAGTTAGCATTTCCATCTTCTTACATATTTTGTTTCAATATTTCTGATCATAACTGTCCTTATCCTGGAGTACAGGGTAACATTTCAGCGCAACTTTTCAGCATACCCTGTTAAAACAAAGAAAATTAATGGAACCAGAGTACATTTTGTTGAGTGAAAGTTAAACAGGATAGATACTGTCTTTAATCTTTTGAACTTTAGGTGCATTTTTGTTGAAATTAGTAGCATCATTTTGAGCTCTAGCAGAGAAGTTTTTGTTTCCTTGTCAAAAGTATTTTGTGAAAACCAAAATTTAGGTTACTTCACAGAGATGTACTTGATCTCATTATTTTTGTGCATTCACTGGAAAGTGCTCTTTCCACAGTTTTGTTCACTTCCCTTTTGTAGGAAGGTGCACACCTTGATCGGCCACTGTGCTGAGATAAGCAGTTCTGTATTCAACTGGGATTGCTCTCTAATACTAACTGGCTCCATGGATAAGACCTGCATGGTGAGCTCAAGAAGTATATGTGCTTTCTATTGGGTCTGTATTATTCATATTGTCTCAGGCTTTCATTGTAACATGAAAAGATTTCAAAGGTGATAAAAAATTAAGATAGTCATTTATATATAATAAGTATATAAGTAACTTTCTATTTCAAATTTCTCAGCTTGATGGAATTATGAAGTATTAAAACAATTTTGATGTCTTTAAAGTATTATTAGTATCTAATTTTAAAAGGCACATTATGTTTGTTTAATGTCCAGTTGTTCATTTATTAAACTTTGATTTAGCAGGGCTCAGGGAGCCTCATTTAAATTTCTCCCTGCTTCTAAGTTTCTGTATGTTACAAAATAGTTACTAGGAATGTATACTCTGTAATTATCATTTGATTATATAGGAAATATATGATAATATTATAATATACATTTCATCTTTTTGGCATTCCATTCCATTTTGGGATCATGCGTCTTATCATCTGATGCCCTTCTTAAAAAAAGAGGGCCCTTCTTAAATCACTAAAATGTATATTTTGGAAGTTTTTCTTTTCCTAATGTGGTAGATGAATGCCACTAATGTAGCAAACTAATGTCTGACTTTGGTCTTCTCTGTGACCAAAGAATGCTTTTCCAGATAGTTGCATGTGGTCGCTGGTCATTAATCAAGGTAAAATTAATTGAACAAGGGAGAATTAGACCCATGATTTGGCATAGTTATTTAACCATGGATTAGCATGTTAAAAGACCACTGGATGTCTTCACACCTAAGCAGAATACTAGTCTCTTCCTTTACTTGCAGCTGTGGGATGCTACAAATGGGAAATGTGTGGCAACCTTGACAGGCCACGATGATGAAATTCTAGACAGCTGCTTTGATTATGCTGGGAAGCTTTTTGCAACTGCTTCAGCTGATGGTAGGTAATCTACTTATATATTTAATTTATGGAGGAATTAATGCTCTGCTTGATAAGCATGCATCTGTAGTATGATCATCCCCCAGAGTACAAGATTTGGTGGGAATTATAAATATCTTTTCTCCATGATGACCATGTGTGTCATTATGGCGTGTCTATATTATACCCTTGATGATCATATATGATGTTATACATTGTTGTGTCCTTATTATAATCACACATACACAGGTTTTCATTTATCCCATAGTAGCTACGTATAATGCTAGAATCTGCATAATCTCCTGGATGGTTATGTGTGACGTTGCACTGTGTTGACATCATTAACTTGACCAACATTGAGGATATTCTAGTAAATCTGCACCATTTTGTGGTAAATGCATGTGCTGCTTTATTATGTCTGCCACATCTTTGTGATAAATGTATGATGAATTGTCTTTTTTGCCACCATAATTTTACATTGCATTTGGCCATCTTACTGATAACCATGGATATGGTGCTGTATTAGCTACACCTCAGTTGCTTGAAGGGTATATGTGATACTAACACTATATCTCATTTTCCTATTGGCCATGTGTGACATTATAGACTGTGTCATCCAATGACCATGTATTATTGTGCATAGTATCTGCATCATCACTTTGCAAGCTATGCTATTATGCTATGGTGTGTTTTTGTCTCCTTTGAAGCTATGCTTGTTGCTAGGCCATGTATGCTTCATATCACTGCTATCTAATTATGACTACAAAGTCTGTGCTATTTCTTTGATTACCATGCATCACACTATACTGTACTGTTATGTGCTCTACTATACTATTTTGTCATCTCCTGATGGCCCAGTAAAATAATACATTATATATGCATCATTTCCCTGATGACCAGGTAGACACAGCACTGTAATGCATCATTTTGCTGATTACCAAGTGTGATAATATATTTCACTTGTATAATATCATTAAAAGACATGTATGATATTTTATTGTAATCTGTCTCACTTCACTGAAAGAAACACATGCAATATCATACAGTCTGTATCATCTCATTGACAACCACCTGTATTGGCATCCTCTGCAAACATCATGTGTATTTTATTAGTATGTGCTGCTTTGGGAGATTGGCATATATATAGATAATTCAATCTTATACACTCCCTTTACTCTGCCCTCCTGAGTTCCCACTCTTCTCCCCTGTCTCTAAATCTGTGTTTTTGTTTCTTACCATCTCTCCTTTGTTTTAATCTTTAATTTATTTATGATTTAGATTTCTTCTACAAGCAAAATGATGTGGCGTTTTATTTTCTGTGTCTTACTTATTTCACTTAACTTTATGGTGTCAAACAGGTGGCAGAGGAACGTCCCCTGTGTAACCACTTGGTAATTTTTCTCTCAGGTCACAGCTGTACTTCTGCTTGTCAAATTTCTATCTAACCCATGAAGCCACTGTCTTTTGGGCCTCTGCAGGTGCAGATCCAAAGTGCTGACACGACCTGCAGGGATCCCTTGTCCCTCTTCTTTGCCTTTCTTTGGGGTCTCTTTCCAGCCCTTGAGCTTGGTGGAGAGCACCCTGATGGAGCTGAATTCAGTTGCCAGGAGAGAACACTCACTGGCAGGGCTCTAAGTCTTTTCTGCATCCACAGATCTCACCGATCACCACTGCTGCAAGTCCCTGTGTTTCTCATTGTCTTACAGACCCCACAGTGTTGACCATGGTCTCTTCTGTCCCTGGGGCTTGCCAGTTTTATCCAAACCACTGCCCCTGAATGACTCTCCAGCTTCCTCTTCCATGGTACCCTGTTCAAATATCTCTCTCACTGCGCCCTGTCAACCAGCAGGAGAAGAGCTGGCCCTGTGGGCACTGGACTGTGGCAACGAGGCTGAGTGCCCATAGGCAGGTGCTATGCTGGCTTCTTCCCTCAGAGGAACTTGAATGTTTCCCAAGGTGGCGCATGCATGTTCACCAGACCTGGGCTGTAAGCATTGAGGGGGTCCAGAAGCCCTGCTTCTTATTCTCAATGCCTTTGTCACTGTGTTCCATTTCTTGGTCTTCTTCACATCGCCTTCCCTTGGCTGGGTTCCTGTGTCTCTTTTTCTGTAGTTGTGTATCTGCTACTTTGGTGAGGGTCTTGTGTGTCCTGTGGTTTTTGTGCTTTTTGAGTATCTTTGCTAGCTCCTGACAACCATGGAAGATGCAAAATTATGTCCTTGTTATGTCATTGAGATTATGTAGGATGTTGCATCTGTGCCAGGATGCTACTCTATGTCTAATACTTTCTTTGGTAGCATTGTATGATTGTACACTGTACCTACTTTTTCTTAAGAGCAACAATGTTTTTAGCATGGTTCCATAAATTTTTAAATAATTACACATGATGTTATACCATGAATAATATCACTGAGGATGAATATATTATGCTCAGATGTCTATGACATTAACATGATTAACAAGCCATACTTGAAATTACATTATAGCTGTGAAATCTGCTTGACATACAAATTGTTATGTTGCTGAGGCTGGGACTGAACTCCCTCAAGCCTTCCTGAGTGCTAGGATCATGGGCATGTGTCACTGTGCACAGTTTATTTCTTCTAATTTTTTTCCTCCTCTGTTATCAACTATTTTTCCTAGTAGTGATTCTGTTCTTTCCTTGATCAATAACATATTACTAAAAATTCTGTTTTTTAATTTTTTTAAAATTTGAAGTGCTTTTTAAGTCTCTCTTCATCTCTACTTCCTAAGAAATACTGATGTTTGGATAAATCTTATTTATCGTTGCTCTTAATTACCTTGTTAAAAGTTGAATCTCATTCAATAGAGGTGATTACTTCTGTAACTATGTAAGCAGTCAGTTTTCTTCTGTATTGGAATTAACCTCAAATCTCATTTCTTTTTGGTGTTCCTATTTCATACTTATCTTCAAAATTTCAAGTCATATGATTTATGTTTTCTGAAATTGAAAAATGTGCTTTTACAAAATCTAAAGTAGAGATCTATTCAGGATTTTCTTTTTTCTATTACTAACAGATTCTTAAAATATTTTTGGCCCTTTTTCTTTAAGAATTTTGAAATTTCCAATTAAGTAGAAAGTTTTACATTTTGAAGCACATACATTCTAAAATGTCAGGGTTTGCTTCTCTTTTTTTTTTTTTTTTTTGGAGACAGAATCTAACCTTGCAGTTCAGGCTGGCCTTGAGTTCACTTTGTAGCACAAGACAGCCTTGAGTTCCTCACAATCCTCCTGCCTCAGCTTCTCAAGTGCTGGAATTACAGGTATGTGCCATCATACCTGAATTTCATTTTTTAATAAACTTTTTGTTTTGGTACTTCCTCCTGATGTTGACACTTTCAGAAACGCAAGTAAAATAGTTTATTAAGAAATTTTGTTTTTAATGTAGTGCTACAATTTGTGATAAGAAAACATCTGACTAGATCCATTGTAACTTTTGTTGTTACAACAGTTTCACTACTGAATTTTTTCCTTCTTATGTGCGTTTTTGTTCCTCATGCCTAATTCTAAAGAAATCTACATATTACTATTTCATTCATCTATCCAGTCTAGTAATTCACTCCATCCATCCATCCATCCTACATCTTTCTATTATTTCTCCATGATGCTGTGGCACCTTTGGCCTCTAGGACTATACCAGGGAAGAAATATTCTATGACTCTTTCCACGCAGAGAGACTCCTGGAACCTGTCCTTAGCTCGCTGCTCGTGGCCCGTTCCCCCCAGCCTCTCTGAGGACAGTGCACTGAGGGCCTGGGGTCCTCCATTAAACAGCAACTCAGCCTGGTTTCTCATGTGAGTCTTGTCACTCGGCTTGTCACCCGCCTCTTGAAACTTGCTCTAGTATTTTTTTTTCTTCCTTAAAATCTTTTTTTTTTTTTTCTTTTTGGATTCTTGTCCCACACCTCCTCTTCTATCTTGGAATCTATTCCCTCTTCTAAATAAGGTCAAAGACCCAGACGAACTCTCTTTCACACATTCTTCCATGGTGGCTTTGTCTTGGATTTAGAGGACTTGGTGGCTGATTGTTACTCCAGGTAAGGAGGCAAACTCAGCAAAGAGCTTGTGTGTCAGAGGACAGATGTGGGGCAACTGAAGGTCTTTGGGCTAAAGTTGTACATTCCAGATGAACTTATATATATCCCCAACCTTCTCAAAAAGGAACAGCGAGAGTTTATAATACGGCCACAAGGAAATGCATCTCCAAACTGGAAGGTCATGAAGGGGAAATTTCAAAGGTGAGTTGCTCTTTCACTTGGAACAGTTCATTGAGTTTGAAAAAATAAGCAATATGCTCCATATAAATAAGTATTTTGGGCTCTAAAGTTTGTTTAATTATATCATTTGTCTAGAAACCATTTTAAGGTAATAATTGAAATGTAACATTAATAAATGATTTTTAAAATGCTCTAAAACATTTAGCAAAGTGTAAAAAAGCATTCTGTTCAGCCATTGGCAAAAGTCTTAGCAGAAAATACATCATATAGCAATTTAAGGAGCTGATGAGGTGCCAGGAAGTCCTGGTTGTAGTAAACACTCAGGTTTATTATGCCAAAAGCATTTTATGTAGCAAGTACGTAGTGCTTTGTAAATTAAATGCAACTGAGAAAATATTTCCTGGAAATACTCAATACTTAATTTTTATAATTATCAATTTTGAAATCACAAAGCCGTGTCTTAGAATTTCATGTAAACTTTCCCCAAAACAGTCCACTATAACTATATAAACTGGTCTATGTGTAAAAATACAAAGATATTCACATACTAAAGAATAAAGTTGGCCATGTATGGGCCACTGCTGGTATGGGAACAGTCAGACTAAAGCCTCTCTCTCTGAATCAGTGCCATTTGCGGACTGCAGGGAGAGAGACAAAGGCCACATCAGGAAGCAAGCTCAGTCTGTAAACCAATAGCATGTATGGGCTGCCACTGGACTGGGAACAGCCAAACCCCAGTTCCTCCCAGCACGTGGGCTGACAAGAAATAGCAATATCTGCCGCCCAGAAACCACCAGGTTATCTGGAGAAACAGAGGCTGTGATGATAGCTATGGAGGTGAATTGCAATTTGATGCTTATGGCGCTTTGGTGTTTTACTGACATTGCAGGTCTAGGGCCAGTGGTCTGATCTTAGGTTCAGAGGATAGTGGTACACAGTATGACATCTAGGAGGGATCTCCTTCTGAGGGTTGCAGGCACTGTTGATTCCCTGTGGTCTTGTTTTGAAGTCCTATATCATTTCCATTGTTTTGTTGGGTTTTACTCTCTTTTGTTTTATTTGATTATGTTGCATCCAATGGCAGGAGCAGCTGTTTCAGAGATAGCAAGATATATTATGGTAGCAATTTTGGATTTACTATTGGCTTGTTTTGAAGTCCTTTATTATATTCATTGTTTTGTTCTTATTGGTTCTAGTCTATTCTGTTCTGTTTGATTTTTACTCTGTCGAAGTTATCTGCAGCTATTTTGAAGGCAGCAAAAGGCATTCTGGTAACTATTGTTGATTTTGTAGTGTCTTGAAGTCCTGTATCACTTACACTGGTTTGTTTGGGTTGGTTTTATTCTGTTTTATCCTCTTTAAAATTAAAAACAAAAATTTCCCCAGAAACTTATTCACAGAGCAGAGCCACCCGGTGCATGTTTTGAGGTTTACAGTTGTGCCAGCAGAACATGGTAGAGCCTGCTGCGAATTGGGGTCTCTTGCCCCCTGGCTCAGAGAAATTTTTGGGCTCATGTGTGAGATCCTCTTTGCTTCTTCCTTATATAATATCAGCTTGATGATTTGCAGATTTTGAAGGTTTTGTTTAGGCACTGGGCTTGCTCGGTGTTGTACTCTTACCTCCCCAACCTGCCCCTGGGGCCATCACCCTGTGATTGGTCAGTGCTGTAATAGAGCCCACGTCATTTCAATGGGCTAAGACGCATGTGGGTGGCAGGAGGGGCTGGGAAAGTGGGATGTGGGTGTTACAAAGCCCTGGTGTCATGTTCCCAAGTGTCTGAACAGATAGCTACTGACGTGTCTGACATTCTGTCTTAACAAGTACACATCTGTACTTGTGCATGTGTGAATATAAAGAGATTCTTTGTTATTAAAATATACACTTGTTAAATGAATGTATCACTTAGGGAGTTACCATGTGGCAGTGGGGCCAAAGCTATTCATTCAGCAAATGCTTTATGAGAGTTTCAATTGTCTGGGCATTGTGTACAGGTGCTAAGGACTCAGTGAAGAGTCATAGATCCTCAGATCTTCAGGCAGAGAACAGGTCTGAAATCATCCTCTCTTGATGGTTAGAGAGGGAACTAAATGTGACTTCAGTCACAGTCACTTTTCTTGTCATTTGGATGAAGATCCTGAGACCAGCAACTTCAAGGAAGACTTATTATGGCTTGCTGGATCCATGAAGAAATGGCATAGCCAAGAAGTAAAACATGGAGGCCATGAAGCACAGTGAGAGTTAGTAGGAGGCAGAGGCAGAAATAGCCCCTTCTAGATCACTCGCCAGTGACCCACCCTCTTTTAACTAGGTCATACTTTCTTACAGAACCTTCAGCTATGGATTCATTCAGTGGATTAACCCACTGATCAACTCACCTTTAAAAAGTCTCACCTCTGAATGCATGAGACTTGTGGGGGACATTTCAGATCTAAATCATAACAACTCCCAAAGGAATAGTGGATCAGTTGGTATCTGACTGCAGGTTGGATACCAGTTGACAATGCCTGGCACTTTGGAGGCATGCAGATATCATTATGGACAAGATGCTCTGTTTTGAATATCAATAGGTGAGAAAGTGTTTTCTCATAGACCTGGACATTTACCTGTACTATGACACAGTGATAAAGGGAGTCTATGCTTTTAGTTATTGAAAGTTGTGTTGCAGAAATAACATGGGGTTTTGCATATGATAGAACCTGCCTCAGCTTTTTATCCACAACAATACTCTCTTTGCTCAAAACAGGAAGCCAGCATGAGTTTTTGGAAAGAAGCTGGGTGGAAAATAATCAAATTATAACAATGCTTTGGTCTTTATCCTTAGAACTAGGAAGGGATTAATGATCAAGCTTTTCCATCTAGACTTAAAATTTCATGTCCAATAACATTTTTCCCTTTAGGAAGAAAGTGTTCTATGTAAGAATATGTATGAGACTGGGGAGAGGACAGGTGCTTGGTTATGTCCTATTTGTGTTGATGAAAATTTATTGGGAACTGTTCCACAAATGTGATCATCTCTGTCTGTCTGTCTCTCTGTTTCTGTCTCTCTTTGTTCTTTTCCCCCCAGATTTCTTTCAATCCGCAGGGGAACCGTCTTTTGACTGGCAGCTCTGACAAAACAGCTCGAATCTGGGATGCACACACTGGCGAGTGCCTTCAGATTCTTGCAGGGCACATGGATGAAATCTTTTCATGTGCTTTCAACTATAAAGGCGACATAGTCATCACAGGTAGGTGGGAGTACTCACGATAGGCCTGGCTCTCCTTTTAAGTGGACCGTTAAGAGTTCCCAAGCTATGTTCTAAAAGGAGTTCACCCCTAATGCTACCACCTTTCCGGGGTTCGTGTCTCATTTTGGCGTGTCATTCTGTTCCCATTCTTTAAGGTTAGTTGTACCTGAACCCACAGGAATGAGTGCTGCCATTCTCAGTAAGAACCTCTTCAGTTCAGAATTTGAGTTGATTTAGATGAGGTAGCAATTTGAGAGCCTGCCTTGTGGTTAGTACATTTTCCTGGTCTTCAAGGAATTGAAAGATTGATGCTTTGTTGATGTTAGCAGTAGTAACCAAAACAAGTCAGGACCAGAGCTTGCCACAGTTGGTTTCATAGCTTACTCGTTGAGCTGAGTTGCTTTTTTCTGTTGATCTGTAGATATTTCCTGCTAATATTTGGGGAGAAGAGCACATATTGAGCATTTTTCCTACCAAAAGGCACTTCTTGTGCGTTATTCATAACAACATTTTCTAGGAAATGGCTTTAGAGATGGTTAATTTGCATTGTATAAAGGAGACCCTGATAGAAAGGTCACGTCATCCTGTTAGCTATTGTCTCTAGCAGAGAAGTAGGCAAGGAGCATGGGTCTGTGACCCCGTAGGGTAGGGATGCCCTAGATAGGCTCAGAAACCCAAATCTGCTAAGTTCTCATTGATTTTCATGGTGTTGAGTACATTTAAAAGTTGTCCAAAGTTTTCTAAGAAGTTCAATGTTCCCCAGTCAAGTTTGGTGCTCTACACTAGCTGATTAAGTGTCTTCTTAGTCATATAATTTAAAGGATAATTAATGAGAGTTAGCTTCCGTGTTCCTAATTCATTATGGGTTAAGTTCTAAAATGATAAGCTACTGTCTTGGGGTTATGATTTTCCTGTGTTAACTAAAATGTAGGTATTTTTAAAACACGAGTCTCCTTGTCTGCCTCTTTTATTGTAAATACAGTGTCAGATCCAGTCTCCTGATTGTGCAGGAAGAAGACCGGCCAGCTTTCCCCTTCCCAGTGCTTCCTGTGAGGCTGGTCCTCCCCTTAGCCTGCATCACAGCAGACCCTGAAGAGTTTAGGAAGGAATATTATTTGCCTGTGCCTTGTTTAAGTGCTGGTACTCTTGAGCTTCCTTAAGATACCATGGATTTTTTAGTGCATTCCAAAATATCAAGTATTAAATTACACTGGGCGACAGAGCTCCTTAGAATGGGGTGGCATTGCTGTCATGTCGCCAGCAAAGGAGTCTCTTTATTTGAATGATTTGTCCTATTTTCTGGTGTACCTGTATGATAAATTACATGCACTTTTTAGGGACTATCTGAGGTTGGTGGCATAAAAGCAACCAGTGTGGTTTTTATGGTCTTTAAAATGTGAGGTGTGTTGAAAGTGTGGGCTGTGCTATCTACATAGGCTTTCCAAATTCCTAATCCCTTCTCTCTTCTTATACTGAGATTTTGTTCTTGGTCGCTGAAGGTGAGAGATCCAGAAAGACCCATTTTCTGGGTCTTTCTGGATCTGGATCTGAAGAGTGAGCAAAACCTGCTGGTATTTTGAAATGTTCCCAAGTGAAATGTTCACCAGATCTAATCCTGTCACCGAAACCTGGAGATACTTGGATTTCCCTCATCCCCACTTGGTGGCAATGTTTGAGAGGAGGACTGTCTGCAGTGGTTGTGTCTTTTCCAGAGGTGCCCAGGGTCTCTGCAGTGAGAGGGAGTCCAGCACATTTATGACACTGCTAGGTAGCAGGGCCCCAGAAAAAGGTGACTTGGGAAAAATGAACATAAAGGGGACAAAATAAAAATATAAATGCGAATTTGTTTGTCTTAGGTAGCAAAGATAATACCTGTAGGATATGGTGTTGACTGAAGAAATTCACCGGTGAGCAAACTCATGAGCAGTTATGAGTAAAATTACAACCAAGACGGAGAGCTTCCCAGGACAAGCAAGCTATGTTCATTTTTCACAAGCTTTCTCTTTGTATACAAGCACTCTGCCCTTAACCTGATGTATCTGACTATTAAATCTGGTGAAGTTTTGTGAATTCTTGATATTATTTGATGGGCATGATTTCATATTATTTAGTGAATGCCACTGGTTATTTCAGTTGTGTTTTATTTTAATAGCAGCACAATGCTGATGAGTAAAAAAAGAACAATTTAACAATGCGTCTCCTAGATTCTATTTTCATAACTATTGTTATAATTTCTGTTGAATAAAGTTTTCTTCTAAAAAAATTTCTTATGAACTGAATGTCTGTGACATGTTTTAGGGTGATATAAAGAAAATAAAATGATGCTTTTTAAAGTGGAAAATATACTCTAGATTGGTAGAAGGCTGAAAAAAGTATAAGCAGGTTGATCTCTAAGCAAAATTTAAACAGAATGAATTACAGAATTTAAAAATCTGGATGGAAAATAAATGAAGTGTGAGAGAAAATAATCATATATCAATCTGAGTATGGATGGAATACTAAAAAGTATTTTTAAAAAGATTGTAAAACTGCTCAAATGCCCATTAAACATTAATGTTAAAAGTGAAGGCACGAGCTAGAATTAATGATGCCTAAATTTAGAACAAGAAAATATATGAGAATCTTTCAGAATTTTTTTAAAAAAGCTTTTTTGAGATATAACCGGTAAGTGAAAAATTGCAAATACGTAATGTATACTTTGATGAGTTTGGGCTGTGTACATGCCTGTGATACCACTATCACAACCAAGGAACTAAAGATGTCTATTACTTCCAGCAAACAATATTGTTTCTTTGTTGTGATCAGAATACTTAACATGAGATCTAGCCTGTATTTAAAGTATAGAATATTGTATTGTTAACTATAGAAACTGTGTTTAGCATATCTCTATTACTCATTTTCTTTAATACAGGTAGTAGTCTGTAATCTCATTATCAATTCAATTTGCCCCTGGAAATGGAAACAATTTTCCAGTGATTTACCCTGGCTTCCTTCTGCTCTGTCCCATTACTTCTTCCTTAAATAGCCCATTTATGTATTGTATAGTTTATAAGATTTTTGCATAAAGTAGGACGCGTAACTCAAATTTAGTGATAATGACAGGTGGAGAAGTCTGTATAACTTTGAGTCTTTTCCCTCTCTCCCCTACCTCTCCTCTATTTCCCTCTGGAACATCTAAGTTTTATAAGAAACTCACAGGATGCTTTTATTTCCTACTAACATGAAAAGGAGTGCACATTACTGGAACATCAAGAAAGAGAAATTATGTGTTACAGAGTCTGTGGAAAGAAGTGGCTCTGAGCTCAGTAATTACAGGCACATCTCAGCGTTTTACCAGTTACAGGGCGTAAGCATTGTGTTTAATATTCTATACACAATTAAGTAGTTTTCAGTTACAGTATGGGTCTTTCTTGTATGTTGCTAGACGAGTCATCCTGCTATGTTCTTAGATCTTATTTGAGCTACTTTATGAACTCATTACAGTTTTATTGAATGACATAAGTGTAAATATGGTTAATTTCTTCCCAACTACATGCTACGTATCTTTCATAGAATATATACCAGCAATCAATAAATGAACACTAGTAAAAAAAAAAAAGAAATTTACAATATGGGTCTCTACCTACAATATTGAGGGAACATGATAAAGTTATAGTTGTGGGCTCCCTAAATTACACATCAGTCAAAACCACCAATTTCTCTCAGTACTAAATTTCTTCCTGTGTTTGGAATTTCAGAGTGTGTTATCTAGGATTTTTAAAATGAGTTTGTGACTGATTTGTGGACCTGCAAAGATGAACACTCTAGAAAAGGTATCTGGAAGCTGTCAGTACTGTGCGGGTGAGGATGCTGCTCATTTTGCTTTTTGAGAAATTTCAAAGGTGGGGATTTGAATGAAGTTGCCTTTGCAAGTCCTTTCTTGGGATATTAATCAAGTAATCGCCACCACGAATGTTCGTGTATTTTATTGAACAGTGAAGAGAACATTACTCGCTCTGATGACAAGTGGAACATATCATTCTCACACGTCTATTTGTTCTCTCATCTCAGCAGGTGGCAGTGTTTATCTTTTGGCTGATAAGTTCTTGTTTTTGTTATAGCTACAGAGTATGAAGAGCAAAGGTTTTATTCTGTATCTTTTCAGGTCAGAGTCATGTGGGGATATAGAACAGCACTCAGACTGTGGTGTACTTTAAAGCTTAGGACTATCTTGGCAGATCTGGGGCAAACGAGGCATCTCATTAATTCTGCTGCACGACCCTGATACTTTCTCATCTACTCACAAGGACAAAGACCAGTAGGGTACGTTAGGAGATGATTTCATTTTTCCATATAGGTCCCTTTGTTGGGGACCAGTTTATGATAATTTATCTTATAATGACATAGCCTATCAAGGAATCCAGTACTCATTTATAACTTTCAACACTAATATTTGATGGGAGTAAATGTAAACTCTTTTAACATTTTAGTAAAGTTTCGCACAACTTCAGAGAATTGAGAGTCTGAACACCATGAGTATTTTGAATTTTAATATTTTATGTAACTAAACCTAAAGGGTTACACTGGTTTGATTGTCAAAGAAAGTAAATCAGTGGGCAGACTAAAAGTCTGCTTACTCGTAAACTATGGCAAGAGATATCACTGTTGTCACTTTCACTACAGCAGGAGATCAGAGATTCCAAGGAGAGTCAGTTTCTAGAGCGGAAGGGGGATGTCGGAGTGGGTTCTCACTGGAGAGCTTCGGAAGTGGGGAAACTTCCCGTCTGGCCTTCAGCTCCCAGTGAGGAGATTAGACAGTAATTTGGAGATTTCAGAGGGAGGAAAGATAGATAGATAGATAGATAGATAGATAGATAGCACATGTGCCCATTTCTGACATGAAGAAGTCAGTGCTTTTTTTTTTTCTCATCAGACTTTCACAGTGGCCCTCGTCTGTGACGAGGAGGGGGCAGAGACAGCTGCCAGGACAGCTAGCTCCCCATGAGCGACAATATTGTGGTGATTGACTATATGGACTCTGGAATCACAATGCCTGTGGTGTTATCTTGCTCTTCCACTTTTCGACTCTGGGACCCTGAGAATTCCAACACCTCATGAGAGTATTACCGTTTTCTAAACTGAAACTAACAATAGTGTGGAGGGAATTGGTGCTGATTAAATGAATTACTAGACACATGAAGAGCTTGATACATAGTTAGCGCTCAACAAATGGTAGCTAAGATTTGTGGAGACTGTTTAAAGGGCATGGATTTAATTGATGTAAGGTCTAGGAAAGGATCTGCAGATTTCAGGCAAATTTTCTCATTAATATATTATGTCCTTGCTGTAACGTGTTCCAATTTACTTTTCCCTTGGAAAGAAAAGGGAAGTTTAATAAATGCAATGAATGGTTTGAGTGAGCATCTCTCATGAATTCTTACGCACTCAGAGATCTGAGTAAGGTTTCAGCTCATCTTAATCTATGTGCTGTTCAAAAGTCTTAATCAGCCCAATTTCCCTGTACTTTTCCCCAGAAGTTGTTGAATTTCTAAGCACATTATAAAACTTCTTCTAGCCTACCCTGGAATGGAAATCATTGTTGGTGAGGAGGGAGATGTAAATATCACTAATTAAATTGAATTTTAAAATTCTTCTTGAAACCTTCCCCCTTGAGATGATAATCTTTTATTAGAAAAATTAGAATTTGTCAAATACCTGAAAATCTCTTGAAAAGGTGGAAGCATTCATCAGGGTGTTTCTGATATGTTTATTCAAATTTCAGTGATTCAGGTCTGCTGGAGGGGCTGACAATTCCCTAAAATTTGAATTACAATTGCTCTCACTGCCTGATGAAGGACAGTGACAGCTGTATTACCATAGGTCCTTCTGTTGGAAGGTCCTTCAGCATTTAGGGTTTAGTTTTAGGCCAGACGTTTAAGGGTCGTCTGGAAAGGAAGAGTTTGTGGTGTGGCTCCTGGTTAAGTACTTTAGTTTTTACTTATAAGCTTTGCTATTTGCAAGTATTTCTAGGACACACGCTCTCATTTTTAATTATGGAAATCACCAATTCCAGAAAGAATGCCTGAATTTCTGCTTAATTCAAATACAGCCCTCCCTCCCCCCCACGTTTTTTTCCCCAAAGGAGCGTGTGTTCCTAGACTGGAGGATGATACCAGACATTTTTCCCCAGGTAAGAATAGGTGTGTTTTCTAGATATACTTCAGGCAAAAGGACAAGTACATTTGTCTTTTAGACCAGAGACTTTTTTTAAAACTTTACCTAGTAGAAAAGCAATTAGACCTTTGAGAGTGTTTGAATAACTGAAGATCATGGCTTAGCTAAGTAGACAAACAGTACTAATCATCACAGGGAAGAACATTCAACAACCCATTCCAAACTATCCCACATTCTAGGAAAGAGACAAAGCCATTTTCTATAGACTGAAAAAGTCAATATGCAGTGGACCCAGTTAAGTTCTATGGAGAATCTACAGTGACCTTTTTGGATCACTTCCCCGTCAGATAAATGTCATTGGCCAGCACTCTCCCAGTCTGTCCTGGGTCTGCCCATCTCTGAAGGATGGTGACTTGATGGGGAAAGGGAAGACAGGCTGTGCTGAGTAGGGTCCTGCTTTTCAGATAGACAGCTGCTGTGTGTGGTGCCCCCATTTCATAAGGAGGTCATCTGGAGGAGACTTCCACAGGATGGATGCTCCCTGAAGTCTTTCTCCAGGAACAGTGGAGAATGAGGATATGTTTATGGCAGACTGGCTAGGAGGCAGGTTCATGTTCATTCAGAAGCTAAACTTTCATTAGAGTCACTTGATTGCTACTTAGATTTCACAAAACTTTCCAGTTGAAAAATCAGATTTATATACCCAAGTTGTTCCAATCATATTTAAGAGTTGTTCAACAGCTAGAATGAGCACCAAGCACTGTTATTATTTTCTCTAATGGTTGCACCCATTTTAACAGGCCTGGTTTACCTTTATAGAGTTCATTTGCCTTTGATAGAAATCATTTGTGTGATTGCATTTGTTCAAGTTAATTTCTATAGCAACTCTATATTAGGAAGATGGAGTTAATAAATAATATTAGAACTCCCATTCATTGGCCACACTTCAAGTACTCACCCACCACATGAGAATAAGGGTTACTTCTATTGTATATGAGATGTCGTCGCTGCATAATGTGATCAGATGTATTTACAGAAGTTGCTCTGTAGTCAAAGCAAGGGAGTCATCAAGCTCAGCGCTGTTGACATTTACATTTTCTCTGCCTGGCTTTTAATCTCACACTTTGTGGTTACACTCACACAAACATGATAGAGCCAAGGAGCTGCTGTGTTTCTTGATATGTCAACATTTGATTGCCCTTTCTGTGTAAAGCACTCAAATATTTGCTGAATGATTGCTTACTTCATACTCTACTTATGTGTAGCTCCAAGATAATATTTGAAAGTTGTTTCAACTTGAGTGACTTTTTAAAAACACGTGTTCAATGAAAATAAAGACTAAAGTAAGCTCCAGTATACTACATGAGCTGTGTCCTATAGTTTTGGTCTTAGTGTCCCCTCGAAGGACCATGTGATAAAGGCTTGTTATCCTGAGTATCACTAAGGGAGCTGGTAGAGACGTCTGGAGTGTGGAGTCCTTTATGTCATTGAGGATGAACTGTGGAAAGGGACCTTCAGACCCTGGTTTCACACCCTCTTTTTTTGTGTGCTTCATTGCCATGAGGTGGGCAGATTTGCTCTGCCACACATTTTCACTGTGATGGGCTGTCTCACTGAAAAAGGTAGGCCCAGCTGATCATGGACTGAACCTTCTAAATCTGTGAGTCAAACTAAGCCCTTTCTTTTTTTAAATTGACCTTCTCAGGAATTTGTTGTAGTAATGGAAAGCTAACACTCTCTTCTGTGTGAATTCAGCTTTGCCGTTTCTGAAATGGTACCACTTGGAAGAAATCTAAAGCAAGACCAATAAAGTGACCCAAGCAATTTTTGAACCTGTCTGATTTTATTTTTTAGCCTAATTTATATATCTTTAAACTCTTAGCATTCTACAGCTTAATGATTTTAGAAATATGTCAAAGAGAGGCTACGTGTAAATTCAAATAAATTTCAAGTTTGAGATTGACTGTTTTCCATATAGAGATTGCTAAAATTTTGAATTTTAAATAGAATTTTGACATTTAACCCTATGAAAAGCATAAAACAAAATCTTATGTAGGAATGTGTTCCTCGAAGGAAATGGTCCTAAATTATATTAGTAGTCTCTTTTGATAAATATTCAATTATATTAGTAGTCTCTTTTGATAAATATCCAATTATATTAGTAGTCTCTTTTGATAAATATTCAATCCATGAATTAACCAGCAGATTGGGTGTAATTTTACCTGGACTGAAATCTTTAATTCTCAGATAAGGAAGACAGATGAATAACAGCATTTTCAGATATCCTGGTCATATCCAGATGTCCTGGTTAATGGATGCTAACATAGCTCTGTCAGAAAATGTTTCATGCTCCAGTCTTCTTATGAAAGTACCCATGTAGTTTCTTTTTTTCTAAACAGATCCTTATTACTATTATCTCTCATGTAGCATAGAATGCTCAGGAGACAGAAGACTAAAATCAAGAGAAAGCCAAGAGCACACTGGTAGGTGGTTTCTGAGCGAGAGCAAAGCAAAGCAAACAGTTTAGGATTGCTGCAGAAAGTATCTAGTTTAAAACATGTTGAGTGAAATAAATTAGACACGCAAGCTTAAACATCAAATGGCTTCTTTTATTGGAGAAATCCAAAGTACAAATAAAGATCAAAAGAAAAGGTAGAAATAGGAAGTAAGGAGATCAATTTTCCTCCAAGGGGAAGCAGATCAAGAGATGGAAAGAGGAAGGGATGGGAGGGGAAGAGGAAGAAAAAAGGAAATAAGATGTGTCAAGCAAATATTCCAACTCCCCACAAGAAACATAAACATTATGTACTACAAACGTACTAATAGAGGAAATGATTTGAAAAGTAAAGCAATAGTTACACAGTATCATTTCTTCCTGTCATAATTCTACATGGACTCTTCTATATCAGGAGTTAGAACCTTAATAGGAAATGTGAAAGTTACATGTACATGTGCACATATACAATCTAATTATAAAATTGGATGAACTTAATCTGTTCTACGATTAAATGGATGCACTTAATCTGTTCTACGATTTTGGAAAAGATGGCCACATTTGTGTTTGCATGATGAAGAGTTAGCAAACAAAATCAAAATTTTATCAGATGTTTCTGTTTGTGAACTAAATTGTGTGCAATGGTAAATAGATGAAAAGGAGGTACAAAAAAACCTATCTAAATATTTAATGTATAAAAACTAAATATTTAATGCATTGAGCCAGAGTTGAACTCTGAATATTGTGGTTATTACCTCATAAATATGCTTTTCTGGAGACCAGGTATCTTGTCTATAGTTTTGGTGTTCTCAGGATGCTTAAAGTAGCACTCAAGTTATAACTCATGTTATAACTCATGCAGCCAAGTTTACTTTCCATGTGTTATGCTGTTCTTACAGTGTCTTTACAAGATCTTTTACATGAAGTTGATACTTTTTACTGCTTTTTTTCTGGGCCAAATTATCTCTAAACTGTTTTTTTCATCCTTTGCTTTTGCTGAAATATGGAAAAGAGTCACCAATCACAATTTCTCTTTCTCTCTCTCTCTCTGTCTCTCTCTCTGTCTCTGTCTCTGTCTCTGTCTCTCTCTCTCTTTGCAGAAAAGGATTGTCAAGTGGCAGGCTTTAGCTAACATAATTTTCTCTTTTACTGGAATAACTGATGAGACTTGAACTCCACTAGGCAGATATTTTCATAAGGGCTCAGTTGTTTCCCAAGAAAGAAAATGTTTTCAGATTCTTAGTACCAGGGGACTTCGGGCCAGTGGGAAGTTAAACTGCTCCCACTGAGAGTTCAAAGCCTGTCTGAATACACCTGAAGCATTTATGCAGACAGTGTGTCTCATATCGTGAAGCTCTTTTTTTGTATTAAACTGTCCCTACTATATGGAAATTTCAGAGCTGGCAACACTCACGAGCTCAACAGTTTGTATTTTAATATATGTTTTGTTTAAGCCCATGTTAACAATTACCAGTATATAAATTAAGCTCATTGTTCTTTGAGTTCAGAGTTTAGCTAATTGAGGGCATTTTGAGAGGTTAATTTGAAAATGTACCTTTTGGTATTTAAAACAGATTCTGATTTTAAGCTTACTGGGTTGATGCTGAATAATTATTTCAAGGATGCTAGTCCTATACCAGCATGTGGCACTGCTGAGATAGATAAATGCACTCTTGTTCCAGGAAAACCGGCTGTGAGGAATATGATTTCCCAAGTGATTATTAATAAACATATCTGAGCTGCTTGGAATGAAAATATAAGGGAAATGATACTAATATTATGGCATTTGTGACTTTTATAAATAATAAAATGTGCTAATCGATTATTCTCACCACGTTTGTATTAAGGAGGATCTGAGAATGGCTTAGGATATGGAAGAATTATTTTTTCCTTTTGTCATTAAATAAGAACAAAATTTATTAGTTAATTATCCCAAGTCTGTTTGCTTCAACTTTGGAATAATCAGCACCCCTGGCCTAGACCAAAATTTATCTAAAAATAGGTTAAGAACTAAGAGAACCATCATTTCTATTGATTTCAGATCCTATGCAGTAGTGATGTTGACTTTCATGGAATCTTTTCTCTAAATAGTTCAAATTTCCTATCACTGTATTCTGAATTTATTAAAGCTTTAATGTAGAATTTTATAATTAGCTTCCTTATACTGAGGGAAATGACAAGAAAAGAACATTTATATCTATCATTAAATGTTGATATATAGCAAGTGATTGGTAAAGTTTATCATTTAAATTTTATGAACTATCTGGAATTTAATAAATTACATAACTGACAGAAAACTACCCAAAGCATAATTCTGAATGAAACATTTGCTTAAAAACCATGTACATTTTCTAATGTATCATGTTACCTCCATTTGTTAACAATTACCCATTATTTTGAAAATTAATGTATATGGCCTCTAGATGCTAAAAAGTTAAAAATATACTCTGGTCAATATCTATATAACTCTTTCCTGTTTATACTTTCTATATAAATCTTACAATTTCTTAAGGTTAGGATCAGTATTTTGCATTATTTACATGTCACAGCCATGGTTACAATCATCACGTGTGTAACATCTTGATAGTATCTCCCTGATAAATTAATTAGTTAAGCATCATTGTTAATCTCTAGCTTTCATTAGCTCCTGTGTCAAAATAATACCATTATTAAAGTAAGTAGCTGCTTACACACCATCGTAGGCTTATTTTGATTTGTCCCCTCAAGGGCCTCCATTTGGAATCTCCTCTAATTATCTGTAGGAGTCCCTGAAAGTATTCATGTTAGCATAGAGTTGCTGGTGATGTTATGTCCTGAACTGCCTCAAACACATTCTCAGATTGAAGTTGAGGGAGGCAACCTGCCTTGAATCATTCATGCATTAAGCATTTTCGAATATTAACTTGGTATGTGTTACAGGTGTTAGTTACTGGAATCATCCTAGGCTTGGATTCCTAGAGCGTTGTAGGAGATCACACAATGAGAAGTGAGTCCTAACTGACCTCCTTTGTGCATACAAAGGAGAAAAGGGGTAAGCTGAGCTCTGCTGACACTGCAAGCATACTGGCAGTGCTGTAGGTCCCAGGGAAAAGTTAACAGAACTAGATCCAGTTGTTTGCACGAACATGGACTGTAGATGATGGGAGGCAGATGAATCTTCTGCCTCTCTGAGTGCTGGTTCCCCTGTCGGAGTGAATAAAGGTGAGGTGAGCCAGATGCTCAGGGCTCTCTCTGTCCATTAGAGACAAGACCACCTGGCTCCCACAATTTAAACTAAATCTGTCTCTTTTTGTCTTTCATTTTTGTTTACCTTCCTCCCCCAAGTGAGGAAGGAACTTGTAGGTTGATTTCCTACAGAGCTTCTCAGACACCAAGACCTGCAGCAATGAGTCGCCTTCTACTCACGTATTCATGAGCCATGAATTTCTTTCAGCTTTTATCAGCAGAGTCACCCTCCATAGGGGCTTGGATGCCAGTTTTTGGGTAGCAGTGTAAGGGGTAAACTAAGCTAAGCTAAGCCACATAACACTACTTTTTGTTATTTTTTCTCAGTCTAGCTCACACACTCCTCAGTCCTTGCAGGTCATCTCTAAAAAACATTTACACCAGGTCCTTTAGACAAACCTTAGTCTCTAGAAACCTGGTAGTTAACATATTATAAAGGTAAGATTTAACATGTTTGATTGAGGCATTGTGTTGTTTAAAACATGGCAAGTTTGCCATGTGTTTGATCACATTTTCAATATTCCTATCTAGCTAGACAACTGAAAAGAACAATACAAAATGGGTTTAAGACAGGTTTAATCTCAGTATTTCAGGTGTGTGGTAAAAGCAAAGAAAACTTTTCCCTAGAGGAGGATTTCA